TTGGGGAAGCTTGTAATAGGCCACTGTATATTTCCTTGGTGGTATTACATGATTTTAGTTTGTTCTCTTGAGATATGTCTTGCTGGAAGTCAGTCATATGGCTTGGAATTTGAGATTTTTCTGTACAAATTCAATGCAATCTTTCTGCAGGAAACATAAGTATGTAAGTTTCAGAACTTAGTTTTAAAGGGATTTTCGACTTTGTACTTCCTGTATATGAACAGGAGATTTCTCTGGAATATTAGCAATGTTAGTTGCCATAGGGCTAAATGTTGAATGACAGTTTTGTGACAGTTTCCCAGTGTTTTATGGGTATTCAAATGCTGTGCAGACACCAGACTATAGATTCTTCTTGTTGTTAAAATGTATGTTCATTCTTCCCATAAAAGTGAGTTTTTAATGTCAAAGTTATGGGGTGATTTAGATATTTTTGCTAACTCTTCAGTAGTAGATTCCCATATATTATGATTGTATATCCTATGTCAGGTTCCAAATGATGGCAGTTTGTGCTTCCTTACAAATAATGCTAATAATACATCTTATAATGTGGGTTATATTATAGCTCAGAATTTGAAAATGCTGATGTGCCATCTTGAGACATTTATTGGCAAAACTTGCAAAAATCATGGTGGAGTGGGGGAAATTTTTCAAAGAAGTCTGGAGCACAAATATGCATTGAAGTAAAATGGTAAGCTGGAAGGAACAAGTTAAAGGAACTTGGACACAAAAGGAAGTTAGTAAGCAGCATTCAATTTTGGCAAACTCTCATGAGAGTCAACGCCACACTTGCCTAAAAAAATCCACAATAGTTTAGCATGTTGGTCCTTCCAGTTTGTAGTGCCAAAGAACTTGCAGAATTTGAGGACTTCCACAAAGAGGAGTTATTTCAGCTACTTGGAATGTAGATTGTGTTGTACGTGTTCAGGTAATAACTACTGTGGACGATGGTGTTCAGGTAGCAAGAATGCACAGCCTTCGCTTGTGGAGCGACTTGCATAGGTGATGAAGGAGCAGGCAAATTCAGCAGCAACAGTTCTTTAGCTGAGGGACATTAGTAGCATATGGTTTCAACATTTTGCAATATGTACAGTGAATGCCAATGCTGCTGTCCTATAGCTGTAACACACTATTATTGAAGTCATCAGAAGGGATACGTGTGATGCTCTAAGAAGATCCCATGCACTCGTAAGATGTGATTGGTGCTACAGTTGTCAGTAGAAAGAAAATTCTTATGGAAAAAGTATGGACATTGATAAGGCATTCACATAACTTTAGTACCAACAAGGTTTCAGTTTGCAGTACAGTTTGTTTTATAATCTGCAAGGCATTTTGTGGATGAGGCAGCACTATTTATCCAGATGTTTACTCCCAAATTCTTCCATTTGGGAGGATGTTTTAATTGCTGCATGCTGACCTGCTACTGAGATGGCCTTATTTGGAGGCAAGGACATAGCTGCAGTCTGCGTGTTCCCTCTGCTAGTGAATAGGGGTGATTTTTGGAACCTATTATTGGGCTGAAGTCACAATTTTTAGAAACTAGACACATGTCTCAAGCTGTTGAACTGTGCTTTCCAGGGGAAAAAACGCACAATGAAAACCTATTGCAAGCAATCCAGACTGAAATATGAAAACTGCAAAGGAAATGACTGAATTTGATACTGTTTTCTCCCTTGGTAAACACAAGCCTAACACCTGGCGAACATTTCAGAATGTAGAATTCTTGAACTCTTCAATGTATATATTAAAAGAGCACCTGCCGTATTTCTGTACAGTATGTCGTAACTAGAATTGAAATTTTAAGTGCTTCAGTGCCTTTGCTTGCCTAGTTCTTTTACAGCAGGGGTAGGAAAGTTCATGCCAACAGGCCAGGTTTGTCCTGTGAGGCCATTTTCAAAAACCACACCCACCTGCCAACCAGTTACAGCTTTAAATGATTTAGGGTGCGATCCTGCCCCGCTAGTCAGCAATGACAGGGCTTGATACAGCAGTGCAGCCAATGCCGCCTTGAACAGCACTTGAACTGACTGAAACAAAAGATATGGTGGGGAGGGAGGAGAGAGAAAAATGCCCTTTTGCTCCCATGTTGTTGCGCTGAAGATACCTGGACTGGGCCTGTCACCATCATATGAAGGCAGCAGGGTCCACACCAGAGCCAGCAGATCCTATGCTGGCCCAGCCCTGCCAGAAACATCCCATTTGGGGGAGTTCTGTCTACTGTCAGCAGCAATAACACTCAAGGTAGTTACTGCCTGCCAACCACTTGGACAGGCACACCAGAGCACTCCTTACTGTCTATGGCAAATGTCCCCCACTGGTAGAGGCTGGTGGGGCAGGGCTAGGTGCAAGGACAGATTGGGGGTTTGGATTACTCTGTCCTCTGTCAATTTTTAAATTTCCATTTTAGTAAACTGAAGCCAACAGCAACTTAGGTTGTTCTTGCGCATAAAGTTACGCCATTGTCTATTTTAACCATGGTTTGTTCAACAGATCAGGCTGTGTCTTGCTGATGAGAAGTTGGCTGCTGGTGCTGACCTTGCCTTGTGCTTTTGTGGCAAGGCAAGTGTGTGGGGTGATGTGCCAAAACAAACCATAATTAAACCAGGATAGTGGGTTTTGATGTCATGTAAAATCAGTCAGCACAAGATGAGATTTGCTAAACCATGATTTCATATTCAGGTTTATTGACTGGGGTGTGTTTAGAGGTACAAAGTACAATTAAGCTAAACAAATTACAGCTTAGTGGTGCATATAAACTCTGCTAGTGTGTAGCTTGTTTATATTGAAATAGTACACATTACAGTACAATATGTAGATCCACTTCTGTTTATTGTTGTGCATTTAACGTTTCCATACTAATATATTGACCTCAGCTACAGAAATTACCATATATGATATATAGATATTTATATACAGAAATGAGAGAGCTGCCATTTTGGCCTAGCTGTCATATTGAAATATGCATTTTCCAAGATGGATCCACACCTGCAATAGAACATTAATTTCTACAGTCCTGCAAAAGAGGACTGCCTTCTCACAGTTTTCAATTAGGATCTGTTTTGCTTTATGAAATGTGTTTCAAAAATTATTCTCTCTATATTCCTGTATGATGTGTGAAATTTTTGTATTGTATTATAACTAAATGTTGTTTTCAAAATAGCTGCTACTCACTTTAAGCTTCTTGCAAAAAGAAACGCTCCTGGTTTATTTGAAACTATGGATCCAGATGTTTCTATGTGGCCTGGTGTGGTAGCTCTTTACTCCTCAGATGAGACCACATTTTGTGGTGTGGTAAGAGACCTGCATACAATTGACAGGCAATTCCGTACTATTTTAACATGTATGCCGTACTGAGTACTTGATGACATAAAATAAGTTACTAGAACGATGAGCCTTATTGACATCCATAGATTTTACAAATGACTTCTAAAACTATGGATAACTGTAAAGAAAAGTTTACATGAATGAAAGTTGCACTTTCTGTGTTATGAATGAGGTTTTTTATGAATATGATGAATGCATGTACAAGGAAGTAGGGATAATGTTTCTGGTGCAAAAAATGTACTTGCTTTAAACTGCGTTATGAAAATAAAGCATTACATGAATGAAGCTATTTGCCTCTGAACCATCTTTTCTCCTTTAAAAGTGGTCTTTAATATTTAAATTCTGAACTAGCATCCTTATTCAATGCACCAGAACAAACACTGCCATTGATGTGAAGTCACTTAGTTGCAAATAAAGCAGATTTGGTATGGTTCAAGCAGCTGCTCCTTTTTGACTCATGGATTTTGGAGATTTCTTAATGGGCCAGCATGGTTGCCTTTTGCTCTTTTGGGGGGGGGGGTTCGTAGGGGTTTTTCCTCTGTTTGGCCATAAGGGCAGAAGTACACAATTGTGTTATTTTGCCCCTCTAGCAGGGCCTCTAATTGGCCCATTTTATCTTGACTTTCTGGTGGCCAGAGAATTCCTTAATAGCCAGCCGACAAGTGGGGACGGTGGGTGGGGCAAAGGTCTGCAACCGCCACCCACCTGAGAAGGGTGAGCGGCCATTATAATCTCTCTCCTCCCCTCCCCCCAGCCCACCCTTTCATTTAAATCCATGCAAAATAGCACTTGGCTATTTCTGGTTGATTTTGAACAGACAAATTGACTGAGACAGAAACAGTTAAGAAAACCTCTCTCCTGGTTCATCTTGACCCATAAGGTATGCACATGAGTAACGTAACTGTTTACTGAAGAAATCTCTCAGGTAACAGAGATAAACAGGCTCTTCTCTCTTTACCAATTATATTTATATGACCCATCCAGTATATCTGAAGGAGCATCTCCACCCCCATCATTCTACCCGGACACTGAGGTCCAGTGCCAAGGGCCTTCTGGCGGTTCCTTCACTGCGAGAAGTCAAGTTACAGGGAACTAGGCAGAGGGCTTCTCGGTAGTGGCGCCCTCCCTGTGGAACACCCTCCCACCAGATGTAAAAGAGAATAACAACTACCAGACTTTTAGAAGACATTGGAAGGCAGCCCTGTTTAGGGAAGCTTTTAATGTTTGATGCATTACAGTATTTTAATATTTCGTTGGAAGCCACCCAGAGTGGCTGGGGAAACCCAGCCAGATGGGTGGGGTATAAATAATAAATTATTATTATTATTATTATTATTATTATTATTATTATTATTATTATCCATCCCATCTCACTTTCATTTATCTTTTATAGATAGAGATGAGGCTGAAATATGAAGCAAAGGGGTGTGGCTATGGTAACCCAGGTCTATATAAACTGACACAAAATTGTAAGATTATAAGAATTTACTATCCAGCAAGGTAGTGTGCTTAACAACACACACACAGAGAGGTTAAAAGCAATCTTTGGGGAACTTCCCAAGTGCCCTCCATCAACCTAGGTTGTTTGAGAAGCCAGTACTTCCACAGGGCGGCACATGAGGAGTTAAAACATGCAGCGGGGAGGCAACAAGGAAGGTTGTCACCTGCAGAGGGTTGGGCTGGTTGAGACAACAGAGGGGTGGGGCAGGCTGCAGTGAGAACTGCATGGGGCTTTCAAGACAGAGCCAGCCCCTGGGTGACTCATCCCCACCCCAGCGCACCTGTCTAGGGGTCTCTCATAAAGAGGAAGAGGAAGAGGTAAAGCTGGCTGAGGTAAGTAAGTGCCTTTCTCTTCTACTCTGGGATTGCGTATGTTTTGCTTTCCTTCCTCTGTGGTTGCCCTGAGGTGCAAACTGCTCAAGTCTCCTCTTTCTCCAACTTCCTCTTCATTGCCCGAGGGAGGGAGGGAGGGAGCTGAGGTTAGGCAGCCAGGTACTTTCCAAAGAGAGCAAACGAGTTGAATTCCGCTTTGATAAATTGCCCTTCCTGTGCACCTGAAATTGAAGTGCTCCTTCCCTCTTCTCATCTGCTTCTCCTGCATGAAGTGTTTAAAGTCCACTGACTTTCCCCCTCCTTTTGCAATCACACACAGAACTTTCTTAGATTATTCCACTTCCCACGTTCCATAACAAATAATTCTGCGGCTGTAGATTCTGAAATATCTAAACACTTTAAAAACAAAAAAACAGAAGGATTGTTCACAAACTTAGCTTTTGATGGTGGTGGTGGTGGGGACTTTCTGTAAGAGAGATCAGCAATAACAGTGTCTCCTATTATGCAACACACAATTCATCCTTCGAGTGTGGAGCTGCCCTTTCTCTTGGCAAGTTTCACATCCCAGTGCCAAAACAAGTCTTGTGGCAACTTGGATGGATATATTATGGTCCAAGCTTTTGCAGACCTGAGTCCACTTTATCAGATGCATGTTCTCCTAAATTGGCAGGAATAGGTATAATTTTTATATACTTGCTTGGCGGAGGAGGGAAAACTGTAAGACAGGTTAAAATGGGAAATGAAATGGCAAAAAATACACACTATGACAAGATTAATGGTGGAAACATACATAAAATGGTTAGATACAAAGCAGTCCTTATGACAAGTTAGTTGTGCCATAATGTTTGCTTTAATTGACACTTGAAGGAGAATAAAAGCCCCTTATTTCAATTCAAGCCACATGTGGGGAAATTGGTCTTCTTCGTCAATTAAAAAAGGTAAAGGTACCCCTGCTCGTACGGGCCAGTCTTGCCAGACTCTAGGGTTGTGCGCTCATCTCACTCTATAGGCTGGGAGCCAGCGCTGTCCGCAGACACTTCCGGGTCACGTGGCCAGTGTGACAAGCTGCATCTGGCGAGCCAGCGCAGCACACGGAACGCCGTTTACCTTCCCGCTGGTAAGCAGTCCCTATTTATCTACTTGCACCCGGGGGTGCTTTCGAACTGCTAGGTTGGCAGGCGCTGGGACCGAACGACGGGAGCGCACCCTGCCGCGGGGATTCAAACCACCGACCAAGCGATCGGCAAGTCCTAGGCGCTGAGGTTTTACCCACAGCGCCACCCGCATCCCACATAGGCTGTTAAACCTTTAAAATAGGAGTTTGGGGGTTCTAAAATGCCCTTCTTCTCCTAGCATAGAAAACGACCACATGTTTGGTAAGTTAAAATGGTTTACTTACAAACTCTCCAAAGGTCAGATTCATGTGCTTTTCCGTACAGCATTCAGAAAAGGTTGCACAGGCAGTAAAACTTGGCTTAGTTGCAGTGGTGAAAGTTCCTAAATTATTGATATGTGAATATAAGTGTCTTGTAAGAGCCATGTGGTTGATCGGGACCAGTGCAAGCTCTTCACATAGTGTGCTTCTTAAGTATACTACAGGGAAACAAAAGTTTGATTACCTAGTCACTTCCAAGATGAGCTAAGCCCTCCATGCATTAATTAGACTTAAGCATGTCGGTTATATGAGATTGGTTATCCCACAAAAAAGTATCAAGGATACGGCTACAGTGTCTGGGTTTGTTGGAACAGGAGAGCTCTGGAGGGTGCCCTCATAATATTTAGCTTATTTACAAAGCTAAAAGCAAAGCAGAAATGAAGGCAAACAGGTGCTCTTTCATAGCATTATCCATTATCTTACATCGAATCTCCCAAGAGAGTCTGTACTTCAAGATTCTTCAGCCAACTCACAGTGCTCTCTGACCTTTCAGCTGCAAATCTGTTTCCAGCCATTCTCTAGAGCAAAACTTTGGTGGAAGGCTCAAACGCACAGCAAGCACAGAACTATTTCTTCTTGACAGTCTTGTATATGCAGATGCTCTCATTTTTGAAAGCTCTAATGTACGTATTTTCCTGGTGATATCTATTGCATATAATGGAAGTGTGAAGATAAGGAAGAAATCTGTATTATTTGGAATTTTGTTTGCTTGTGTCTTTTGTTATTTGGAAACAGGGTACAAATGAACTATTTGAATTTTGCATCAGTATATTTTAAACCTGAAAGTTCCATGTTTTCTATATTGATATCAAATATAGGGATCTCCTAAAGATATAAAGATGTCTTTGCTTTTTAAAAAATGCCACCATCCCAGCCCATTTAAGTTTTTGTTTATGTTTTCTAATTACATATTTACTGGATAAAGATATCCAGCTCTCTCCATATGCAGAGAATCCAAAGCTTAATGCGTCTGGATATTGGAAGATTGTCCATACTATTAATGGAATGGCATGTGAACAATTTGTCAGATGATGCTTGTTGAAGTGCTTATGAGTTTTCTTGCATCTTCTGTTCAGGAAAAGCCACAAGGGCAGCCTTCTCTGGAACAACCTCCGTGCTTCTTCCCAGTTTGAACAGACGTGGCACTTGGTGGATTAGCTGAAATGGATCGCTACAGATATTTCATCTTCAATCAGAAAAGTATGGTTCTGTTGGGGCTCCTCCAGATAGCTTGTGCTACAGTTTGTATCATCGGTGGATTAATCGATGGTGCTTTCAGAAAGGACTCGGCACTGAGCAAATCTAGGATACCCATCTGGGCTGGAGTGGTAAGCTATATAGATTCTACCCCCCTCACACACACCCTTTTTATTATAAAGCCATAAAATCAAACTTCAATTGAAATGCCTGCTGCAATAAAAAAAAGTATTCAGTAGATGTCGGAAGTACAGCAGGGAGGGTTGTACAGTTTGGTATAATACAGGGAATTTGTTCACTGTTCTAGAGAACTTGTGGTTCTATATTCCACAAGCCAGCAGATCTCCCCGCTCTGCTAGACAGTGTGGTGGGGCTTTGCCCAGCTGCTGGGAGACCCCTGTTGCTGAGAAGAAGCCCTTAAAGAGTCCCACCCCCATTGCAGGGGTGACAGCAGGGCATTTAGTCTCAGGTGCTGAAACACCTTGGGCTGTCCCTGAGTGCTGGCCTAGTTGTTTTGTGGTAAGAGCCTAGAGCAGGCTTCCTCAACCTCGGCCCTCCAGATGTTTTGAGACTACAATTCCCATCATCCCCGACCACTGGCTAGGGATCATGGGAGTTGTAGGCCAAAAAACATCTGGAGGGCTGAGGTTGAGGAAGCCTGGCCTAGAGGGCAAGTGTGACTGCAGCTGCCTTTGAAATCTGACTTGCATCTCCTTAATTTGGAAGTGGGGGAGCTGAGGATCAGGCTCACAGAAGGAATGCTCTGGACTGGTCTGGGTGAGAGAGGAACAAGGACTTTTCTTTCTCCTGGGAAACATAGGAGAATTTAATGTTTTTTGGAGGTAAATTAACTGGAAGGGGGAATTTATTTATGGTGTTTGCACTTCATATGGCTTGTGGTCTTAAGCTAGTTGCTTATCTCCATCTTCTCCAGCGCTCCATTTCCAGCTGCGGCCAGTCAAATGCCAATGGGAAGTTTTTTTCTGTTTATGTATTTAAACTATTTCCCACCTGTTCTTCAATGCCAAGGCAATCCCTAAGCAGGTTACATTAAAACCAACAGAAATCCAAATCAACAGTGTAGTAAAGGTAAAGGGACCCCTGACCATTAGATCCAGTTGTGGCCGACTCTGGGGTTGCAACGCTCATCTCACTTTATTGGCCGAGGGAGCCAGCGTACAGCTTCCGGGTCATGTGGCCAGCATGTAGTAGATGCCTCCAAAAGTCTGGGCAAATAAGTGATTCTTCACCTGGGGCTGAAAACTCAAATTGTGAGTTAGAAGAAATTCCATAATTGTGGGGCTGATAACAAGAAGTCTTACATTTTTGCCTGCAGGAACTTACGAGGGGGACATGTTTGTTTTCTACATTTGATATTCAGAAATATATTGCTTTTGAACATGGAGATTTCATTTAGCTAGTGAAGTTGAAAGGAGGGGGCACCCATAGGTGAAGCTGGTGTTTTGAGTGGGTGGGGCTAATAGGGAGAGTGGATGATACTTGTAGGACTCTGCTTTACTTCAGGAGGGGAGAATAGGACTGAGAAAAGTGAATGATTTCTGGGAGAAAATTGCACTGCAGAAGCTGAACTGTTCTGATTCTACTAGCTGACTGTAGTAATTACAAACACTATTTTGGGGTGGTACATGTGAGCTGTGGTGGTGATGCTACAAGCAAGAAGCAGCTGGGACTGTTAGTAGTGACTTCGAATAATTTAGTGGCATCATTTTACTATGGTACAATCACTTTGCTGTAATAATTTTTTTACTTTTTATTTTCTTGGGTCCCAAGCTAATGTTAGAAATGCAATGGGTGAAAGTATGATTTACACTTTGAAAGGTGCACGTCTAATATTCCTCCTTTGTGCGTTTCACATACCCAACTCCTTGCCCTTCTAGCATGGCGGGCTAGTGATCTGATAGCTGTCAATTACTTTACTATCCTTATGTGTCAATCACATTTTCACCTGTATAAGAAAAAGCATCTGGTGAAATTGACCAAGAATGTTGAGCCCACGTTTAACAGCCAGCTGAACAATTACATTCCCTTTCTGGTGTCAAAATGACCTTCTCTGAAATCGTGCCTAAAGGAAAGATGTTTACTTATTATGGAATAAACCACGTTCAGCCTTTGTGCTTCATAGATCTGCTGGTTGTTGATCGGGAGCTGGTGTCTTAGAAACCACTTGCCAACCAGTGTATTTATTTATATTTATACACTGCTTAACTACAATCATATCTAAGTGGTTTACAAGGATGTAACAAAAAAGTAAAAATCAGTTAAAACTCTAAAATAAAACCTCTAGTTTGTTTTAATCTTCCTGAAGTTAATGTTTTTTCACTTCTTTTTATATGCTAAAGTTGGGCATCCCCCCCCAGCTTAATCCCCTTTACCTTTTGTTTTGTAGTTTATGGCTATTCCTGGAATTATGGCTTTGTTTTCTTCACTGAGAAAGAATCCTGTTTTGGTATGTTTCTATTGTATTTTGTTTAAAGTGGATGGGGACAAATCATACAGCTGACTTTCTATAAGTAATAAATACATACACCTTTTATTTACATAACTTTTACTTCACGTCTGAGGAGCAGATGGGGCTCATCAACGCGGGAAGGTAGCCCATCTAGGAGAAGGAAAACTCTGATCCTAAATGTCTGCTGCCTTGCAGGGTATATTTGGGGGGGGGAGGCTAAAGAGTAAACCCTACAAAAATCTGGAGTCGAGTCCCTAAGATGGTTCGATGGCACCTTGTATACCTCCTTCCAGCAACTCCTGCAGCCAAGCTGGTACCAAACATATTGCTCTACTTTTCTTTTGGACCACATCAACAAGGCCGAGATGGAGGTTCTTATCATATGGGTAGCCCAGGACCCCCCATACACACTGCCCAGGCTTGCACCCCTGGGAGGTCACTTTGGTGCTGCACAGTGGTTTGACTTCACCCCCCGAAGGCACACTCCATTGTCCCTCGAGACAGATGGATGCCAACAAAAAGCAACAACAAACTTTAACTTCTGCCCGGAAGTGTTTGGAGATATACATCATAGGCTACAATTAAAGTGATCATACATGTATGATTTTGGGGTTTAGAGATTAAAATCCACAACAGATTAAAGGTCTCAAGGAAGACCACTTCAACAGCAGTTCAAAATTTCTTCAGTCTGTCTCTAAATTCATCAGTCATTTTGTGTTGCTCCAAATGGCTGGATTGCAGTAACACATTACAGTTGAAAGGTAAGAATATGCATGTTTTAGAATACACAGCACAAATTTTATCTATACATATATAATATTATTATTTATGTTAAAGGGGAAGGAATAAAATTCCTAACCACCTCTTCCACCTTTGGCCTTCAATACCCTTTACATAGCAAGCACAATGGTTGTTTTGGGGCATGTTTTTAAACACCCATAATTGGAGTTCCCAGACATGGATGTTTAAAAGATCCATGCACATCATCCATACTTTGAGCATCAACTGACCTTGGGTGATGAGTGTAATGGCTGAAGTAGAAATGGGTCTTAGTTAAGCCTAAAACCTGCTGGGAAAACACAGCAGCTGACCATCTTTTTTCTGCTGCAACTGATCATCATCACCTTCTCAAATCTAGACTAGATGGTAATGTCAAATTGTGTGATTTTGTGTGATTCCTGGAGGGGTCCTTTGCTCACTCAGAAGCGGAACAGCAGCTGGGTCAGCCAATCTCTTTCTAATGAATGCAGCACAACATTCCCCACTTAACTTATTTTGATCCACTATGCTGCTTTCCTAGAAAATCTGAATGGTTTCTACCTATCTGGTTTCTTGGCTGCCTTGGTAACATCCCTTCTGTTGATTGCCCAAATCCACAGATATCTTTGCTCAGTATTTTTTGTTCAAATGTATTCTTTCTGGCAGCTTTATTGCTTCTAAGAAAGTCCCATATATTTAAATGGATCTTGCTTCCAAGAAGGCATGTGTGGGAATAGGCTTAAAACATCAAACACCTGCACACACTCCCTAAAAACACAGGATGAAATATAATACAGTTAAGTATGTTGATTTCCATTTGCAGTATTTAATTAGGAAAGGAAAGGTTTGATTTTCACTGATTCATACCCACATTTCAGAAATTGTATTGTGAATGCATGTTTCCCCCAAAGACACTCTGGAAAATAAATTACTGTAGTGTACAAAGATTGCATAAGAGGCATATGTGGAGCTATTTTTCATCCTTTGACTTGAAGCCCAAATTTAGCTCTGGTCTTCTCTATCCCCATACCTTTCGTACAGGTGAATGCAATGATAATTGCTTCTGTATTTTCCTGCTTCGTCACTCTACTTGTAATCATCTATACGTCTATAACATTAGAGTATGGTGAAAAATATGAAGAGTTTGACGATGTGTCCTCTTATCATCACCCAGCCGTTGTAAGTATCAAACTATCCAGTTTCTGCCCTTTTGAATACATTGCACACAGTTTAGGAGTGACAGAGTAACTAGCACACCCAAAGGCCTGTCACTCACATCAGTTTGGGGCAGAAGATGGTGCAAGAAAATCTCTGTGTGTGTTTCTTTACTGAACAAGGTCCAGGCCAGCACAGCAGAGGCAAAATCATTGGATGGCTCAACCACCCCCTTCTTGGTCCTGAAATGCCTTTTATGGCAGGTATTGTTTGGAGTTCCATAGTAAAGGATGCCTCCTACTGGTACAGACACTGGGGGCAGATCAGGGTTTGGTCTGCCTTTTATATATTACTTTCATTTTATCCACCCAATTTGAGGATATTAATTGACACCATCAGTTTGTATACATGTATAGATCATATTGGTGGACCGGGTGGCGCTGTGGGTAAAACCTAGTGCCCTAGATTGCCGATCACATGGTCGGCGGTTCGAATCCCGTGGTGGGTGCGCTCCCGTCGTTTGGTCCCAGACGCCTGCCAAACCTAGCAGTTTCGAAAGCACCTCCCGGGTGCAAGTAGATAAATAGGGACCGCTTACTAGGGGAAGTAAACGCGTTCCGTGTGCTGCGGGCTGGCTCGCCGAGATCAGCTTGTCACGCTGGCCACGTGACCCGGAAGTGTCTGGCGGACAGCGCTGGCTCACGGCCTCTAGAGTGAGATGAGCGCACAACCCTAGAGTCCTGGCAAGACTGGCCGTACGGGCAGGGGTCCTTTACGCTTTACTATAGATCATATATGTTGGTTTGCTCAACTATTATCAGTTAATATTTATTGTTGTTTTTCACTTGTCATTCCTTTTCATGTAAAATAATTAAAATACAACAAAAATAGAATTTCCAGGTGCTTTAAAAACAATACCCACACCACTCCTAGGGTTGAATTGCATTTTTTGGATAAAGGGTGTGTGTGCTCATTTTCTGTGTTGCAGGCATTTGTGCTTGGTAAACTTGTAGAAGGAGCCAACATCACACTTCTGATTACATCGCTTTTCAGTGCTTTTATTGTGCTGATTATTGCTTATTTGAGTTGCCGAAGTCTTCCATGTTGTTCATGCTATGACAGTGTCACTGGACTTGTAAGTAGCAACATTGCCATTAAATATGGTGGGTTTACTTGTTTTGTACTGGGAAGGAATGCCTTTTGGGATTCTGTAAAAACATTTATGGACAGTTTGATATGAAGTTGCCATATTTCCTTAACTCCCCCTCCCCTTCAACTAGTTAAGCCCAAAATGCCCACAAAACTAATTTTTTGAATTGTCATTTGGAAACAAATGATTTGTGGACACACTGTATACACTAAACAGCTATGAACCTCATCAGTGCTTTGATGGTAAATAACTGGCATCCTTATATAAGCTTCTGTGCACTTCCTAAGGAGTGGGGTATAAATTGTATATAACTGCCCCTTCTGCATGTTTTTCTTGACAGGTGTGTGCATAAAATGTTTTTTACTAGGTTCACAGTTCTATGGGTGGTATTCAGCTAAGTTTAATTCAGAGTAGATCCTTTGAAATTAATGAATATAACTAAATAAGTTCCATTAATTTCAGTCAGTGTACCCTGAGTGAAAACTACCCCTTGTGTTTAAGGTTTGCCAATTATGTAGCATTTACCACTTCTAAGGATGACCTCTCATTGTTTGATAACTGCCATATTTATGCATCTCTTAGATAGATATGTTTGTTCAGCTTATTATCAGGGTTATTGAATGTGAATGGTTTGAAATAAATCTCTTAATTATGATAATGGTAGCTGCAAAAATTTAAGAAATACTTTTGTAAAGGAAAATACAGTAAACTGTGGTGGGCATTATATGATGAATAGCTTCTTTTTCTTGAACTGCAGAACTTTTTACTTTTAGTCTTGTTCATTATTATACCATTACAATTACTTTTGGTTAACCAAATTACAAAATGAAACTGTGTTTGTCTCGAAGACTGCACATTCTAAGATCAGTGCTATTCTCAGGTGAACCTATTAAGCAATCTCATGTTCTCATTTTTAGGAACGGCTAGAATCTAATGAAGACCAGCTACAAATTGCAGAATTAGTTTGCATTCCATCCGGTATGTAGGTGTTCTCATTGTTTTACTTAAAAATTAATTTTGGATTTACTAAATATGTAAGTCAAATAATGAATATGTAAGGAAGATATTTGGGCTATATAAATATTATTTAAAATCATAATAATTAAAAGCCATTTCCATAAAAGCAATCTAACTACAATTACAAAGACTAGGCAGTAGTGGTTAAAAATAAAATCCAGCACATTACTTTACTGCTGGTTTTAGTTTAATTTGTTCTTATTAATATTGAACTGTAAAACCCAACATAGCTCTTTTAATCAATAGTGGGTTAGAACACAAAAAATTAAAAGACAATAAAGAAACCCTGCTAATATTCCTAGGGAGGAAGACAGAAAAATCTGTGTCATTGGTGCCCACAATAATAGATATTGATGCTGGACCAAGGCCAGGCCTCTGAAGCCTGGGCAGATTTCTGAGAGCGTAGGCTGTCCTTCAAATAAAGCCCTACATTGTCTAGGGCTAGGTCAAAACCAGTCAAAACCAGTCCTTTAAATGGGGCCCAGAAACGAATTGGCAGATAATGCAATTGGTAAAATATGGGTATTATGTGTTCCCAATGCCTGATCCCTGCAAGAATCTGGGCAGCTACCTTCTGCACCAGTGGAAGTTTCTAAACCATTTTCAAAGGCAGCCCCATGTATAACCCGTGTATTACAACAGTCTAGTCTGCATGTAACCAGCACACGTAATCAAGGCAAAGTTTGCTTTCTGCAGCTACATATGCTCACTGTGTGTGTTTTCTATTCTAGGTCAAGTGGATACAATTTTTAACTCTCCTGTAAAACTTTCAGATTTAGATATGGAAGCTGATGATGATATGCCCAAACCACCTCCGTATATCAGGATGACTTAAATATAAATTCTATGAGAATAAGTTTTTTTAAAGCTCTTTATAACTTAAGAATGTTGATGAGACGTTTGTACAATTCTTAAAAGTTAAGAAATGACTGACCACTCTGAAGAGATCCTCAGAATTTCAAGACTGGTGACCTATTTTCTGTACAGTTAATAAACTTAATTCTATTTTCATAAATTTTAATTTAGCCCCATGGTGTTTATTTGACTCCTGCTGTGTAATAGAATCTTCAATAATAGCAAGCATCCTTTGAACCAGAAAAATTGTCATGGGCAAATGAGTCTTCCAAATGCAAATTTGCTTGTTCAAATGGGAATGGTGTGTAGAAATCGTAAGATTCCGTGTGATAACTGATTTCACTGCTAGCACAGAAAGCAAAGAGTGGGCCGATAAATACTGTGAATATTAGCCAATGCAATCTACTCCAATGATTTCACCAATGCCCCCTGTTAGAATTTATGGATTGTGTTTTGTATGGAATTAGTATTTCATTAAAGAGGCATCACCTTTCATATCATATCCTCCATCTGGCCTAAACTAAAGAAATCAATTTGAACATATCCAATCTTGCCCATTGGTCCTCTTCCACAGATTCATTTTTTAAAGACAAATGCACATATAACTCCAGAAATAAATCACTTTTTAAATAGCCCTAGGTGTAGCTGCCTGAGGCAAGCAAGAATCTTTCAGGACATGGAAGCTTCACAACACTCATAACAATGTGAATGTTTCTAACTGACAGGCAATTACAGTGGGGAAAAATGAGACAAAAGCAGAATTTTACTTGCTAGCATTTATTAGTTTAAGACAGTGGCACGTACTTGTGGTAATTTAAATAAATCTTTCCTTTTGCTTTTAGAAAGAACAATTGACATTTTGTAGGTAAAGCATTATTAAATGGGGAAGCATTTTGGATTAACAACACTCTGTTTAAGATACTGTCAACGTAACTGGTGCTGATAAGATGACAATGCTCAATGTTATTTTGCAATAATAAGATAGAACAATTCTATACTATACTGTAGCAGTTTAAACAGTTTCAAAATAGGTAACCATTTCATCAGTATTTATGGGTGAAATCCAACATTAGTTACCAGACCTATCCTGGGAGCAATACAGGGATGTTGTCCCATATGTTGTGTCCACATGATTTATTCTTCAACACCCTCTTCCTTCTGATTATAGAACTCTGGTTTTTATTTTTACTTTCTTTAGGATATGATTTAATGCACACATTATTATTACATTTGCATTAAAAGCTATCTTTTACTTAAATGGATTAAGAAAATGAAGTAAACAGGTGAGTCCTCTAAAGAGGAGTGTAAACTATATTTGAGAAATATTTTAGAAATATACATTTATGAACATTTTTTCATTAAAAATCACTGGAGTCTTCGTATTAAATAAATGGTTTCTAGAAAGTGCGTAAACCAAAAGTAAAGACACAAAACAGAGTAAAAAGAACTTCCCTTTTTCAAGTGTTGTAGAAAAACTAAACAAGAAAAACCCTGTCACTTCTAGTTATAAGCAAAAAAATAATAATCCTATATAAACTTGGACACAATCCTCTCACACATTTGGCCCACAATGCAAGTGGATTGTGTTCCTTGCATTTTACTGATTAAGGTGCAATCAATAGATTTTCCTAAACATAAAAGCTAGTGTTTTATACTTCACTCTGCTAATGTACAACAGAATAGCACCTAGTATTTGGCAATTACATTTACAGTAATTGTACTAATATGTCCGCCTTCAATAACATTACAGTAAAGGTTAAAACTTAGTAAGACATTTAATAAGCAGCACACAGTAGATATAAGCAAATTGGATTTGGAATATTAAGTAAATTGTTCTTTAAGTGTTAGCCTATAATACTGATACTCCATTCTCTTAGAATAATATGTAACGGTATCTTGAATTTCATTGCCTTCCCTTTTTATGTAACCAAAAGTTATATGTAAGCTAACACGAAATGTGAAATGTAGGACACATGTAAAATAAATGAAGAATGAGGATCAAAAAGGTTACAATATGGTACTGAACAACAGAGTTAAGATCAACTCCTACAGAAGGTTCACTTATACTAAGGTTTGTAATGCTTACTTCCGAAACAGCCAATGTGGTAGCCTCCAGATGTTTTGGCCTACAAGTACCATCATCCCTGTTCACTGGCCAAGCTGACTAGGACTGAGGGCAGTTGCAGTCCACAACATCTAGAGGGAACCATGTTGTCTCCTGCTGTCCTAGTTGATTAACATTGATTGATTTGTAAAATATTTGTTTTTAATACTTAAGAAGGTGGCAGCCACTGCTAACAGGATTCTAACAACACGTTACTGTTAGCAGCTTGAGCTTTCCAAGTGGAGGGAAGAGCAAGAGTACAAAGATTAAACGTATTTAAAATCAATCCCCATTATCTGTCATTCACACAAATTATGCCATTTTCTACAGAACTGTTTTATCCCTTCCTCAATATTTGTAGCTTTAATATTTTATTAGTCAATAAAAGCTCAAATTTCTTTAATGGGTGATGGTCCTAATTAGCAACAATAGATATACAAGGCTGGAGCTATATTTGTGCAAGGAGATGAAGATAGGCACCAGGATTTCGCCACTTGCCAATTACTCAGTACTGGAAGGCTAAATCGGGCTCTTGTGCCAGTAGTGCATGTTACACAATGAACACAGGAAAGCCCACCTATCCCTTACACCTTTAGCTTGAGCTGCCCAGAGGTGGAGGCAGTTATTATAGCAAAAATGTCTACGCAAAATCATCAAGCAAGAAATCTTGTAAGTTCAGCTCTAAACACTCTGTGCTGCAAACAGATTTGAAGATACCTCTTAACTGGTTACTAAAAACATGCTGCTAATATTACTTATGGAAAACAGCCACTTTCATTCATATTTTATGTATTTATTTTTATACTAAGGGATGATATAGACCACCCCTTCTATATGTTCATAGCTAAGGCACACAAGTAGTTATTTTTTTTACAAATTGTAGATTCTGAAGTTCAGTTGTTCCTACTTTATGCTATTTCAAAAGCAAAACATGGTCAACCACACAGAATAGCATATGATTTTCCCTATATTATTTGCAGTCTACATTTGAGTTCACTGTTTGTTTTTAGTAGGATAAACCATGCATTCCTAAGACTTTTACCTTGGCCATTTGCTTCATAGTATTCCATTGGGGTACTAAAAGTACCCCAATCAAGTCTCACGTTTTGGCATTTTGTATGTTGTGTAGGTTACAACCACTTCTAATAATGAAAGTCAAGCAATACACCTTAAGTTACATCATAATGTTATGAATATAAATGATACATTTTTAGAATTGCGTTAAAGCTTTTTAAAAAGTGTTGCAATATTTAGGGAGAATCTGAACTACAAGATCTGGCGTTCCTATTGATGGCTTCGCCTCCAGAGCAATGCCACAATTGAGTGGATACTTTCTGATCTCCTGTGGTTACATCAGAAATAAACAATCCACTACAGCTTCAGTTTTCAATGCAATTTCCAATGTTCCATGAGATTCACATGATTTCATTTTATTGTGCAAAAGATAACCCTGGATATTTTTCCAATGTCATTTCTGTCTCACATATAAAGAAGAATACAAAACTATGAGGGCCATCAAACATAACTTTACACAGAAAGTAAACTCCGTAGCTCTACACTTGCTTTCATAATTAACTAAACTAGAGTTTAGATAAAGTAATGAGATGAAGGCAAGAGGTGACTTAACACTTGTGCTTAAGTCAAGCCTTCATTCCATTGCATGATTAAGACATGTGATAGAAGTACAATTCACAAATCAATTTACCAAATTATCTAAAAGTAATTCACTTAAAATTATCAAGTCATACTACTCTTTGGGTTTCTATAGAACCGTGATCTGCTCAAATTGAACGCTAAAGGCATCAGTGATTTGACCTAACCTACACATTTCTATTTTAGTGGAGAAAATATCTCAGAACTAAGCTACTTCAATGGGACCAGAGTCAAGCTTCACAAATCTAACTTCCATAAATCTTCAGTAATTTAGATGACACAGTTAACAAAGTGCAGAGATAAGAGTGGCACACATCCAGATGTGAGGACATACAATAAAGTGCCCAGCAGATTCAATGTAATTTCTACTAAACTGGAACATTACCAACACCATACTCTCAAAGCACTGGCAAACAGACCAAAGTGATGACTACAAAAATACTGTGAGCTAACACCAACATGGCATGGCGGGTTTTACTGCAGGTTCTAGGTGAATTGTGTTATCGGGTAGCTGACTAAGCATGAGTGGCTTGTGACTCTTGAGCTTATGAGCCAGGGTCATAAATATGGCTTCCACATGATCATTGTCATTAGGGTTTTTAGCAGATGTTTCAAACAGTGGCATGCTATGAGTGTCAGCAAATTTCTGAGCCATGTCTGTAGGGACCTGAATTGCACTTCTCAGATCGCATTTATTTCCAACCAAAATCCGGGGTATATCATTGGTGAGCAAGTGTTGTTTGCATTCCTCGATCCACAGTGGCAAACTATGGAAACTGGCAATATTTGTCATATCATATACAAAAACGACTGCGTGTACATTCCTGTAATAGTGCTGTACCATGCTCTTCCTGAATCGCTCCTGCCCTGCTGTGTCCCAGAGCTGAATCTAGATGTACCAAGAAGGGGAAAGAAGGGAGAGAAACAAGAAAAAAAATGATTTCACTCAGGCTGGTGGAAAGGCATAATTTCAACTTTAACTCAACAGTACTTTTATATTGCTATGATTTCTGTTCATGAGGGTCTTTGAGGTCAGTGGTTTTATATCTCAGCAACAGCAACAAAACATCAATGAAAACTTTTGCTGTGAAGCTTGCTGCAAACACTTTTTTATGCATCAGCTTTTCAAAAACAGTTATACTAAATATTAGTAATTGTGCATCTTTCACTGTAGATGGAGGTATTGCAGGAATTAAGAGCTTGCCAAGAAATTTCACATTGTGACATGAGTATTAAGTTTACGGTAATTAGGATCCATGTGGGTTTAAAAATCAGCATGCTTACATTTCAATTAAAAAGCAGAGGTGTCATTGCTTAACATAACAGTACATGTATAAGGATGACACAACTTTCCATTTAAGCACTAGCTGGTACCCAAAGGTAACCAGGAATTCCATGCAGCTGGGTGCATGGAAGCTCTACTTCTCTGCACCCAGCATAGAAACCACATGTTGCTAGAGAATTCTGCAAGGCCCTAGCAAACTAGCATTATGTGTTTGCAAACTTTTGTGAGCTTATTTAAACACTGGGATAAAGAGATGCAATAGGCCACAGGTTTGACTAAATATGAGCACATCTTCAAAACTGTGTGATGTTAATACATGTTCAGCACTCAGCACATGAACAACAGTTAGTTAGACCAAGGCGTTCAGAGGTGCAACTAACAGCATGTTTACAGGTGCAACTATAACATCAAGCCTAGGGCTCAGCGATGAAGCTTGGGGGGGGGGGGCTTCCTCAAGTTACCGCACTCAGATTGTTACAAACACAAATCTTGATTCAGGAGAAGCAACTGAGATACAAGTATAACAAATGACCTCCATTATTTTTGGCCGTGTGTCAGCTCCAGGCAGCATGGATGAGCAACAGGACTGGAGTTGCCCACTTCTTTCCTGCCAGGTGGCCTGGTGTAAGATGACCCTCGTGGAAGGGACCACGAGGGTCATCTAGTCCAACCGGCGGCAATCTTTCGCCACCTGCACCTATAACAGTATTGCAGCAGAGGAAATCTCAGCAGACGTCGCTTGCCGAGGCAAAGCACCTGCCTTTTCTGCACACACCTGTTAAAGGAGCAGCAGCAGCAGCCCCGGACTCCCTGCCACTTTGCATCTACTACGCGCCAGCTGCAAGACAGCCGGCAGAACAGCCCTTGAGCCTGGCAGGGGAAAAGCAGCCCGAGGAGTTGACCTCGGCTTTCCGCACCTTGATGCGCTCCCCGTCGATGTCGACGGCGCGTTCACGGAAATCCACCCCGATGGTGGCCTCGGTGCGCTCCGGGAAGCGGCCCGCGCAAAAGCGGAAAGTGAGGCACGTTTTCCCCACGTTCGAGTCCCCGATGACGATGATCTTGAAGATGCGGGAGCGCGGGGGGGGCAACGTCCCCGGCCCCGCGTAGCTGCTCGACAGGCTCAGCTCCAGCGATGACTCCACATCGGCCGCCGCCATCGCCTCCGGGCCCGCGAAGGCGCCTTCCGCTGCGTCGAGTCACTCGCGGCTTAGTCGCTCAGGCCCAACCTGGCGGAGGGATTCGCGTCGCGGCGGAGAGGCGAAAAAGGCCCGCGCGCCCCCGTCGCTCGCTCGCGCGCTCATTTCCCCCCCTCCCTGACAAGCCGCTTCGCTTCCGCACCTGAGGAAGCCGCTGCCGCTTCACGCGTGTTAAGCCACGTAGGAGGAACAGCTCCGCCCCTTTCGCGGGATAGGCCGGGCCTGATAGGCGAAGAAGGCGAAGCCGTGGAAGGGGGCGTTTCCGCTCGCCTCTGCGGGGGGAAACAGGGACGACGGGAACACGAAAGCTCGCGAGAAGTGGGATGTTATCGACGAGTCTTTAAATGGCGGGTTGGGGGCGGCAGCGGCCATCTGGCTGTCATTGTTCGGCAGTGCTAAGCTCGTGCTAGTCTCCTCCCTCAGTACAAGAGCGTCTCACACCCCTGGCTGTCTCTCTCTCGTCCCCAGATATACAAGCGGGAGTTACCCGGCGAGACTGATGGGCAGAAAGTTCCCAGAAAAGCCAATTCCCCCCCACAGACCAAGCTTTAAAACTTGCAGCGCCTCTGGCAGTAGCTGTGGGGAAAGCCGTGAACATCAGCTTCCGGCTGGGCACTGGACCGACAGGGCTCTTCCTAGCCAAGATCTGTTGCTCCCACAATTGCTGGAAAAGGGTGAAAAAGTAGACCGCGCTCTTGCGCCTTTAAACAGCTGGGTAGATAGAAGAGTGAATTTCGGTACTGGTGGGCAGCTGCCAAAAAGGAAACTTCAGGTCAACCTGCTGAAACGCCCTCCTACAGTTAGCAAAGATGCAGGAACAGAGTCTTATTTTTTGCCTGCAGTTCCAGCTCATGGCAGAGATCAGCTATCCTGAGCAATACATGAGCCTTTGAGCAGTAGCTTCTATTTACATATTGTTCTCTACTTTCCTGCTGGAGCCAGTGCTTTTCAGCAGAAACCCTCCTCCAAACTCCTCATATTCCTTTTTCTAAAAACCCGGCAACTTTGTCCATCGTCACTTCTTTTGCATAATTAATTTTGCTTCTCAGGGGGTGCAAAGTGCAATGGAGCAGCACTCCTTGCTCAGCTCCTCTGCCTGCTTAAGTGGACAATGTATTTTTAAAAACCTAACACTACCCTATACTTGCTTACAATGGAGCAAGTACCACCAAAATCAGTGAAATGCGTTTCCAAATAGACCAGCATGATTATTATGCCTCTGGGCTGCCTTGGTTTTGCCTTCCTATAGGTTACACTGATCATTTTTTAATGACGCACTACAAAAGGTGTGCATGTGTGCTGCTTAAATAGTAATGACCAGATTACTGTGTTTTTATGTGTATATGATGCCCACTATATACCTACCTCCCAAATTTATGTCACTGCAAGATCACACAGTTGTAACTATAATGAAACATACTATCCTTGCTAAAAACAAAAGCCACAAATGAGTGATCTGTGTTGTAGGATCTCAGCACTTAAGAGAGTTTTGACCATCACTGGAAGAGGAAAAAGAAAGATGTAAATTATTAACCCAAGCCCATCTCCTCTTAGCAAAGCACTCTAGAAATAATGTGGCATCCTGAAAGACAATAGGGCTAATTCTAGAGTAGTTTCCATGGAACATCATGACTACAGCAAGTATTTCCTGAAGGGTTGCTGGATAATAAAGTGGCTAAGTTAAGGGGAAGAAAAACAAGCACGTAGGATACTAAGGTTTCCAGATAGATAACACTGAATATTTGCAGACTAGGTGTGATAGTCAGCTCTTGGTTTGAATGTAATGTAGCAGAGTGTCTCAGTAGCAGACAGCAAAATTATTTTCTTGGAAATATTAGTCCATGAAAATATTGTAGTACAGTTAACACAAAGTTATGACAAACTTCTTTTGTTCAGAGATGTATATATGCCAAAAGGGCAAGGCTCTAGATGAATGACAAGTCAATACTTTCCTTTAACATTTTTTCTTATCACAGAAAGAGTAATGATCTCTCTAAAGAGATGTACAGCAAATTATTTTTACCATTTTCTACACTGTGCCTTAGATTTCTTATCCCAAACTTCATAGCTTATAAAAGTTCTCATTTTAATTTTTTAGTCTTCATAAAGATGTTGTATTTTGCAGAGATATTTACTATTAACTCCAGGAACGGAACCATTACTGCCAAGTTGCAAATTACTGTTCACAACAGCAGCCATTGTGGGTTAGCTTTATTGGAGAAGAGGGGCAGGAAGGGGAAATAGTGTCTCCAAGCACTGCTGCATTATGCATTGTGGGATTTCACCAACACTAACAAAAAGCTATTATAAGTAATTCATGTTACACTGGTCTTGCACTACATCTCTTCTGACAGCAGTTTGCAAATTCTATAGCCACACAGCTCTTTTTCAAAACATTTTATTGCATTATATTTGGTACCTTATGTTTGACAAAGGAAATTACATCTGTAACTGCAGGAATAAGAAGCTTGTCTGTTATTGAAAAAAAATCTCGGGCCCGTTAAAAGTTACAAAGTCATGGGCTTGCCTGAAACAACTGAGCAAGAAATATATTCTTAGAAATGTAGGGCTTCAAGTATTACAAACCTGTGACACTGTGGAAAAGTTCCAGAGGTATCTAAACTGCAGCACTTTTTTCTGCATAACATGAACAAGGCCTGCTGAGGTTTTAAACAATTAGTCTCTCGATCAGTCACAAATTGGAAGTCAGGAGTTCCACTCTTTGAATTTTCAAGCCATAGTTATGTTCATTTATATTTTCACTGTACGTGAAAAATACATGCTGTCTTTTTAATGAGTTGGTGCCACATCACAGTGCATAATTTCATTTGGTTCTTGCATTACAGTTTTAACATGTACAGCTAAATGATGCTGTCATCATGCTCATCTCCTGAACAGCAGTGTTGATTTCTTTTCAAATTTTAATAAAAACAAAGTATGTTCTAACTGGTTCCTTCATTTAAAAACTGTGGTGCAAGAACACCAAACTGATCACGTGCAGTGAATTTCGGAGACACAACAAGCTAATTGAACACCTTATGTTTCGTTATTTTGCTTCATATTTTAAATCCCAGTCTCTACAACAGCATTATATATGTATTGCAGGTTTGTCTGCAAATAGTGATTCACATTGCATACTTCCAAAGGGTAGAATCATCTCTGTATCAAAATCAGTCAGATGTTAAAGCCCCAACAACTCTTTGTGCTCAGTGAAAAGGATCCAGTGCTAAAACAGCATTTTTGCTGTCTGAGATAGTCATCTCAACAAGACAAATTTAAAGTAATATTTCTGCCACACACCTGCTCCAATGGGTGTTAAGCCTTCAGATTCCATATAAATTAGTTTAAAATGGGGTATGTAGATAAAGGATACTTTTCAATTTTAGCAGTGCTTAGTTTTTCTTTTAACTGAGCCACCTATATCCAGTAATACGTTACTTTATATTATATACTCGTCAGCAGGATAAAAAAAGTAAAACTTTGAAGGCAACCATTTTTACTCCTTCCATTCTGTGTAGGTTAGAACAATTCAGCAGGTGCGTGACAAAAATATTATACACCAGATACGGTCCAAAATCATTCCACTCCTTTAAAAAAGTTCATATTTCATTGGCCAGTTCTTCAGTTTCTGCAGATATATCTCCATTAATTGTGATCTTCATATCCTCTTCATATCCAGGGGGCATAAAAGCCAAAGCATAAGGGAAAAGCTTATGACAATTTGCTCTGTACATTTCAGCTGCTTCTTTACAGTCTCCAAGGCTACCATCATTCAATGCTTCCAATACCTCGATACAAGTCTAAAATGTGAAAACACAGTGTTAACCCTTTTAAAAGATCCCGTGTATCAATTCACATTACTGCTAGTTCTGTTTTCATTATTTTAAAAGATTATTTTCTTGCTTGAATATTTAATATTTACATGTTTCTTACCTTACATTAGAATACTATGAAAAGGATGCTTTTTCTGCTCCCTAGAGATTTATTAAATATTACAAGTTCCACTAACTGCGGAGCAATTTTAACCAAGGGTTTGTTGTATTATTTGGAAAAGGTACACCTGCTGCTAAGATAACAAATCATTCTGTATATCAGACATATTTACCTGAAGATTTCTGTTTGTGAGGGATTCATCAAGGCAAGTTGCCAGCTCCACAGCTCTTTTCTGGCTAGTAGAATCCAAATAATACACCATTTTGGCAGCTAGGAGAGAGGGGAAGTCATTCCGTTAATCATAAAACTGAAACAAAAAGGCTGTGGTCTCTTAAAGTTACTTTCAGATGTGGCCAATCTGTTTTTTGCAAGTGGGCATTTCCATTTTGTAAACTAGATGTGCCCTTTGGGTAGAATAAGCCCTGAGTATGTGGGTAATTGCAGCAAGGCCAATGAGTTTAGGATCAAGATAGGAATCTTACATCCTGGTCTGGCGTATGGAATGGGAAATGAGGGGCTTACTAACTCTCCCGCTCACTTTGCTCTATAAACCCTCTGACTTGTATCTGAAGTGTTCTATGAATGGAATGGCTTTCAACTGAGCAGGAGCTCCCGCTGACTGAAGTGGCAGAAGTTCTGGAGGATCCCGAAGGTGAAGGGTTTTAACTCAATGGCAGAGCAACTGCTTAGATGGACCAATAGTATATGACAGTTTCCTACGTCCTAACTTAGCACAAGGGACTCCATGGGCTGGGGTGCACTTCCGCCAACTGGATTTGTCCGTTTAGAGAAATTCAGGATCCAAGCCTCTATTTGTAAATATGGAAATGTGCATGCAGCATTGCGAGATCACAACCTAGAAAGGTTACATTTTAACTGTAATTTCTTACTTGACAGTAAGAGATAACCTAATCTATCAAAGAAACAAAAGCAAAGTTGCTAATTTTGCCTTGTTGTTGTTTGGAAAATTTATAAATGGGACTAACTGCAATAACATCAAACACAGATTGCTACCCAGGGCTTAATGTCAAGCAATAGAAAAGGTTCAGGCAGCCTTTTAAAAAAATGGTAAACTGTTACCATTACACAGTCTAAGAATCCAGCATGCACAATGCTTTCAAAGCCTCCTTTACATATGTTATGAAAAAATCATCAACCTGCTACTGGGTAAGACTATATAACTTATCTTAGTAAAACTAGTATCATAATACCAATATCCCATTACTTTGATAACTGCCTACTACAAAACACTCCTCTCATTAACTAGTTATTCTTAACTGCTAAAGGTAGGATTTTAATAGCATTACTTTAAGGTCTAGCTCATCTTTGTGCTACTTTTGCTGAGCGTGTGACAGCAACTGTGATGTCACCTCCTTTATGCCACCTCCTTTGCTCAGCTACCTCATTACGAAGAATTAGTTCAAAAAATCTGAAACACTAGAATTATAATATTATGATTCTGTATATCTATTATGCAATGGAACAGTCAAGACATCCCAGCTCTAAGATGGAAATAAGCAGCAGTGTAATACTGGGTTTCCAATGACTAAACTTGATTAAAAAGAAAAAAAATTCACAGGGATGTTTATTTTTAATATGAGAGATCATTCAAACATTTGATCCCTCACATAAAACTGAACATGTACCTTGTCTCTAGTATCCTGACTCTTGAAAGAAATACATTCTAATGTTTTTGGATTGATGAAAGCTGTCTTGCCATAAACTGGCATGAATGCAATTGGTATGGTAGACAAGATCTCACATGTAAGACCAAGAGTGGTACATTACTTGGCAGCCAAATTAAAAACTGTCAAGATAAACTTGGAATATGCAGCAAATTACATACCAGATAATCTGTGTGGTAGTGAATCATAGTTCTGTTTAAGGAAAGTTTCATTGAAGTTCTTTGGATTAGTTGCACCAAAAAGCCGATTCATTTCTTGATTCAACACTGTTCTGACTGTTTCTGGTAGATCTTTGCTTTCAGAAACTGTAATGTTAGAAAACACAGTTAACTGCTGCAGAATACATTACGCTTTAATACACTTATTAAAGATTGTAGTTGCTTCTTCTATTAAAGCCCCAAGATGACCTGTCAGAGTTAAATGAATAGTAGTTTTGAATTTATAGCAGAATAAAAAAGGTAAAGGGACCTCTGACCATTAGGTACAGTCGTGGCCGACTCTGGGGTTGCGGCGCTCATCTCGCTTAATTCAATATGCTTGCTTTATTTTATTTTTTTAAAAATTAAAAATTGGTTTACGAACTTAATCCGTTCCGGAAGTCCGTTCTTAAACCAAAGGTTCTTAAACCAAGGCGTGTTTTCCCATAGCAGCGGGGGATTCAATTTACAAATGGAACACACTCAACAGGAAACGAAACATGTTCTGCTTCCAAGGCAAAGTTCACAAACCAAAACACCTACTTCTGGGTTTGCAGCATTCTTAATCCAAGTTGTTCATAAACTAAGCTGTTCTTAAACCAAGGTACCACTGTACTTTATACTGAGTGACAGAAATGGTCTGTCTAGTTCAGTGTTGTTTATTCTGACAAGTTTTGGTTCTCCAGGGTGAAATTTGATAATCACTTGGAAGTAGATAAGCCCTGCTTTACAATGAGAAACCAAACAGAGTTGCGGGCAGAGCTTTCCTGCATATTGTCTATCTCCAAGAACATGGCCCCACCCCAATCCCAGCCATTCTTTTCTTTATTGCTCATGTATTTCGTCAACATATTGATTCTAAAAAAACAACAACACCCTAGTATTGTGCAATTTCCTCCCTTTTCTGAAGAGGACCATAATGATAAAAGGTAGCATACTGAACCAAGCATTTTAACCTTGCAAATATTATGCAGTAACTGAAAGATAAACTGAGGGGGGAGAGAGAGAAACTGGACAGATCCATGCACTCCTTTTAAAGAAATATCAAAACAAATCAGAAAATACAATGAATTTTGCTGTTTGTATTTGAGTAAACTGCTCATAGTCCTTGTCAGGTGTAAGGTATGACTGACTATAATAGCGTCTGGAATTATGATTGGTAGGTTCATACCACTGCTGAAGAGGTGAATCATACACTCATGGAGCCATGGATGACTAGGGTCAATAGCAAATGCTCTCTTCACAGACTGCAGCATAAGGAGGAATTTT